AAAAAACCCCCTTGTGTAAAATTATCATTTGATCCACGTGACAAAAAATCCGGTGATTTATGGTAGGGTAGTGTATACGGAAAAGATGTTTGACGAATCAGCGATGGCCCGGAATTGCCATACTGCTCTATAGCATTTTTATAGTAATCTTTTAGTTCAAGGCTGGCTTTCCGCAAGGCCGCAAAAATTCGTGTCGTCTCGTTCAACCATGATGACTTTTCACGTCGGAAGAGTAATGTCCCCTGAATAAGAGGTGTAATAGTGATTTGCTTCCCTACGACTGCACCAGCAATGTCCGATATTATAAACGAGAAAACAGGGGCAGCAAGTCGCATAGAGAAACTGTGAACTAAGCCTGTTCAACTCGGAGAAATATTTTGCATAGTATGCACAAGCTTGTACATATGTATTGGTTTGCGAACAATCCATACTACTCCATCTACTCTACCCTATGTACACACTACTCTATGTCCCCAACGCCCGAGTCACAAAGTCGTTACCTGGCTGAGTCCTTGCCTGCCGCAAGTCTTTGTCCCTCCTCACCCACACTTCTCCACGGCTGCTGTCAGCCTGGTCTCCTCGTCCGCCAGCCTCTTCAGTGCAGCTGCTCCTTTGCATTGAGGTCCTCCCTCAACTCCTTCAGTCTCAGCGTCACCAGCAGCTTCCCTCGCCCTCACCCTCCTTAAACGCCTCCAACGCCCTCTTGGCATCATTCAACTCCCTCTCCGCCTTCGCCGACATCTCTTTCGTTTCTTCGACAGTCACCATTTCTTTTTTTTGTAAGGAAGATGTGCTGCGCGATGCGATCTAACACCGTAATGTAAAATACTACTAACGCTGATCAGTGGCTTAATCAATAACGTAAGTATTACGTAAATCTTTCACAATTGCTGCGAATGATAATTGATACGCAGCAACACGCTTTCGTCTATTTAAGCATGAATAAACGATTTATTATCAGCACTAGTCGCTTATTTTCAGAAGAATCAACCACAACTCAACAAATATCGTTTAAAAAAACCAGATCTAACAATTTTCATCAATAAACTCTTTGCAAAGAATGTTTACATTCACAAGTGAATTCTTTCTCGGAGTATTAATTGGCTTCGTTCTCGGCCGATTGCTAAATGACATTATCTGTAATGGTCGACCTAATAATACGGAAGCCTTGATTCAAACGATAAAGTCGCAACCTATAACAAAACTGTCGGCGACAAACAAAATCTACTCAGCAGAAATTGAAAAGTTGTGATACAATTATACAACAAAAGAATTAAATTGGATCCAAAATTTTCATTTAACAAAATGGTGTTTGAAATCCATAAGTTACTTGGTGAAGGAAAGGTCGTTGCTGCTTCCACAATACGAAATTTTTATCTCCGAAGAACAACTCCGCGGGAAAAGACCATCGAGGCAATCCAACGTTGGATCGACGAAAAGGAGAATGTAAACGAAGATGACGAACATAAAAATAAAGAAATATATGAACCATTATTGCTTTTTAAAACGTCATCAGTCACATTGGTCAATTTTACAGCCACATCATAATCAGCCTCTCATTTATAGAATGTTCACTTTGTCTGGTTTTGTTGCAGCATGCCCCATATGTAATATATACAGTACATATACATAATAATAATAGTTACATAAACATCTTGCATGTTGGTGCCTAGTATAAAATGCCGGGTATACACCATTACACAAGTCAAAGGATAGCAATATGCATGTACCATCCTAATATGTACTGGTCTTTATGTGTTAAAACCAACATAGATAGTTACCGCATATGCAAAATACAGCTGGCGTCAAAAGAATCACACAGCTTAATTCAACTTCCCGACAGCTCAATTTGTTTACTAAAAGCGGCAAACGTAATCATGCGGTCCTTTTAATTTGCATGTACGCATGAACATTGTTACGAATAGTAACCTTCATGACCTTGCCGAATCGAATTCTAAGACTTATTATATAAATACCAGTTTTTTTGGTAATCAATTCATGCGGAATTTTCTCTAAACGGCAACAACGCGTTCGAACCATCATTATAGTTCTTATGTCGTAACTTGAAACTCATTTTCTGATAGGTTGAGAATTTTCATATGTTGCTTTTCCATCAGACAACTGTTCTTGTGGCTTTTCTATTAGTTCATCCCGTGAAACTAATAAATTCCACGTATTTAATTAATCTTATTATGTGAATTAGAAGCGTATTCATTATGAAACACATTTCCAGATAGAGTACGACTTTATTATCAAGCTAGCCGTACGGGATGGAGCTAATTTCATAAAATGTATATTTTCTTGAATGATCATAAAGTTCTTCCATCTTTCAACTAAGACTAGCGACTGTACACTACTCCCAAAGACAGATGTTCCTTTGCGCAGTATAGATAATCTCCAACATCAATGTCCAACTAATTCTTCGGTAAAGTTTCCGGTGATTTATTCAACACCTTACCTAATAACACTGGGGAAAACGGAATACAGCGGTTTAATTTCTACTAATGGCACGCGAATGTACTAGGATTCCACGATGTCAGCTTAAACGTAAAAAAAAATTCCACTACTAGCACTGTCTTATCTGCGGTATATATCATTAGACTCGCTATGACTACAATAATTTGATTTATGTATGAGAGCTAAATGGTCTACGTAATGCTGTTTACAGTGCAGGATGACTTCCCCAAGAACTTATGCTCATTGGTTGATAAAACATATCTCCATCCGGCAGTACTATAATAATTATGAAATATAATAATTATGAAATATAAAGTCAGGAAACATAAACTAACCTTTACTGCATGAGTTTGTAAGCTAAAATATGTTCCCAAGATGACGCCCGTCTTTCCACGACTTTTGAAGTAAACATTTCGACGTATTCTAAGATTATGCTAATATGAACAAGCATACGCATATTAGCTATTACTTTATTATTTTGGATCCTCGACATTGCCTGTCGAGGAAACAACAAAGTTGTAGTATTTCTTGGTAGTTCAAATTTGTAGATAGCATAATCATAGTTGCCCCTGGAACATTTGGTAAACACAAATGCATATTTGGTTGTTGTCAATGTGCAATGTGAAGTCAAAAATAAACAAATAGTATAGCCTTTGTTTACATCATTGACGGCTAGATTTCAATTTCAATTCGCTTTGGTATGTCATTATTCATCATCGATCACTGTTAATCTGCAGGCTATGGATTAATAAGCCTAATCTCACGATTTCGCTAACCAAATACAGGGCGGGCTAATGTGTAACAGGTCCCGTGTCAGAATAACAACAGCCCAGAGTCAAATATGTGAGCGCCGAACCACTTGTGTCATTCTTGAAATGTATGACAGACTATATTTAATATTAAAATTATATTTAAAATTATTATTTATAGCAACCAATTTTCTCAATTACAAGCGAAAACGGTAAGATGTTTTCAAGGCCGAGAGAGGACTCCCTGCTTGCATATCAGTTTGCTAATGATATCATACATCATTGTTTCCAAGTAAATAATATGTTCCTTTGCCTGACTCCATCTTGTCTTGAGTCTGGTTTTTTATAAGGTAAATAGTTGGTCTAGGATCGATAGCTTAACAGTCTAGTTTTTGCTAGCAATTCCCGCTAACAGTAAAGGTCATATATAATCGCTATTTCGCAAACACTTCGTTATTGATTTCTCGTGATTAAGTACACTGCTGAAAGTAGCTTTATTCTTCCTAAGCCTTACCTGGGGTTAGAATATATATATATATATTATTGACAGAAAAAGCTTGCTTATAATGATGTGAATATAGGGTTTGATCAATATTTCGAACGAAGACGTATTGCTGGTTTGTTAACATACTTTTGCAAATCGATATTGCGTCCAAGAAGAACGCGATATGTGATCGAGTGCGCCGACGTCATGCGATTATTGGTTCTTCTTAACCAACCAGTAAGCCTATCTTCTTCTCAATAGAAAAGTTCACGATGCTTCTCGATTTCTGTACAATATAAAGTAACGTCTCGATCTTTTTATAGCTTAATGTGTCAACTTACGAGAGAAAGTTGACAGAATTGAATTCTTCTATTTATACGTATCATGTAAGGAATATAAGAAACGCAACTCATCTATTCGAAGACAGATACTCCGAAATCGAAGTAAGCTTCGTATACACTTTTTCATTCGTTACTTTGAAGATTCGACTCTCACTCTAAATGCACACTCTATTCTGCACGTGCAATAATCCCGGCTATATGAGAATTATTCTCTAAATGCACACACGTGATTTTGAGTATAATTTAGTAGTTATTGTCATACATCAGGTAAAATTATAATTGGTAGAATTTGCAACATTTCGCCTGATGATATGCGTTTAACGTTCGGTAATCATTTCATCAGGCGATTTGATCAGGCCATATTCCAGTTCAAAAATCAGACAGAACTTAAACATTATATGCTACGAGCGAATGACTATTTAAATGGATAGGCGTCATATTTTAAACTTGCTAATTGCAAAGATCCAGCCTATGGATGCGGGTAATTATAATGGCTTTTAAACGTCACCAAATTCGGTAAATATCGTCTATAACGTATTTTCGCTAATGTTTAAGAGAGTTTAACATTAATGTCGTGTTCTACCTATAGTTGGTTATTAGAGCAAGTTGAAGCTGGACAACAGATAGAACAACCAAAAATGGATGTTCTTCAAGCCATCCGATACATTAGCAAAGCATGGGAAGAGATTACGGCTGAAACTATTCGTCAGTGCTGGCAGCATACCAGAATTCTTCCTGAAATACGGCAATTTACAAAATCCTCCGGATGACGTCTATGCCATTAATGATTCAGTTCTCGATGAAATCTGTAGAGCACTCGAAAATCTTAATCTTTCGAAGTCAATGGAAGTTGAAGAGTTTCTGACAGTCCCTGAAGAAGACATTGTTTACGAAATTTCTGATGATGACCAAATAATTACAGAACTTGCAATAATTTGGATGATGCAGATGATAGTACAGAAATAGTTGTCAGTGCAAGTGCTGCATTAAAAGGTCTGGAGACTGTACAAGCTTTCTTAATTCAACACGAAAATACGAATGGGCATTTGAAGTTGACAAATATTCTAAAGAGATATATATTAGAGAAAGAAGGCTAGTTCAATAAGTATAGATCAATATTTCAATAAACTACATAATTAATAATATCACGTGATCATGGATTACCACTCCGTAAATGCACTATTTTGCATTATTCTCTAAGTGCACGGTTCCAAACTCTCAGTCCCGAGGTGTGCAATTTGACCGTAGTTTGTCGGAAATTTTTTTACTCCGAGTTAGTTCTAATTACAAGATGATCTAGTGCATAATCGGAACCTGTTCTTGCACCGATTATGTTAGATATCAGTTAAAATGATGACGGGAAAAAAAAGATCTACGATACTGTAATTGGACAGAAAATTCGGGGGCCGCGCACAGGGTTTTGACATTTAACGGTTGCCCAATGAACCTTAGACAAACAAATGCTCGTGATCGAACACTAAACGGTATCACATACTCACTGGCTCTTGCTATAAATGTCGGCCCAGCACTTTGTGTTATACTTTTTATATTAATCTTGTGTTTTTACCCACGATCAACTATGTTCACAGCAACGTACATGAAAACCAAAAAAAAACAAACCAAAAAAACCAAAAAAAAAAAAAACCAAAAAAAAAAAAAAAAAACCAACGGTTTATTTATAGTTAACTTTTGTACGTATTTTTAGCCCATTGTATTGACTTGTTAGGACAAACTGACTTAAATCAAGTTTCTGTCCCTAACGAACATTTTCCAATAGTGGCAACATAAATATAAAGCTAACTTTGTAAAGTGTCGTCACTAAAATGCTAATACACAAGGGGGGTGGTAGTTTTCTCACGCAAACAAGTCTTTTGTTTGTAAATGAGTTAGACTCGGGTCACAAGCTCAAAGATAAAACCAATACATAAAAGCTGTCGAAGTTCAAATAAAATAAAAATGCAATCAATGCATTGGCTGCTGTCTGCAGATCAGCTGTGGATGGGCTGATTAATGTTTACCCTGTAAGATGTAAATTTACCATCAATGGTTTAACCAATTTTATCAACTTAGCATAAATGGAAATATTGCGACCGTATTTATTTACAGTATAATTATTGACAAGCCAGTCATTATAACTTCCGTTGAGAGAAATTGGGATTTTTATGCGTTCCTCTTTAACAATGGAATCCATTCGTGCAATGCTTACACTGTAGGTGTGACAGCGTGTCACAATTCCATATGCGTGTTTATTCTATGCAATCGATGTTTGTGGATTAAACACAAGGTATGGGTATTTTGATTATCTGATACGGGACACAAATGTAAATAAATAAATAAAAAAAAGGATTGAAAAAACGGAAGTACCAGAGAAATTGCACAGTAGAAGAAGCCAGTAGATATAAACCAAAGGGACCAGAGAATGGCACGCATATGCACAGCATACTATCTGAGAATTTTGTTGCTTGATGAGAATATCAATTTTAAAGAAATGAATACCGTTGACGCTTGGTACAGGCAGCTTTGTTCGTGATGATATTAGGGGCGATTTACAGTTTCATATGTAAGCTTGAGAAAAAATTTTTATCAGCATGCATTCTAGCATATGATACAAGTAACCTAACTATTAAGGCCGATCTTTCAACTAAGGTGCGTTCTCACCCAGTTCATCGAGCCAATCGAATTTGGAAATTACAAATCCAAATTTGGCAATGCATAGCCAAGAGGGGTAATACCATCAAGCCATCTGATTGCCTGATGGATCGTCTGATTGGCAAATATGATTTGTGCTACCAAATGGGATTTAAATCCTCTCATACCTTTTTTTGTCATATAGCTATCTCTAGCCAAACGATAAACTGATTTCCAAAATGGATTGGCTCGATGAACTGGTGAAATGTCACTGAAAAAAACCAAAAACATTATTATCCTTTTTTGAATCGATCGAGTTACAGTCGTCTATCGGGATATCTTTAACCCCCATTTTCGGCGTTCTTTGAATGTGCACCAACCTAAGTTCGGGAATATTCTGACTCGGGAATTATCTAATGGTCTTGAAGAATAAGCGCATCAACGTGTATATTGTGTTATGCGTGAATTAATTGATTGACATCTTCGAATAAACATATGGATAAGCAATGTGTGATGGAACAGAGTGTGGTCTTAATGAAAGCTCAATAAGATACTGTTATCCCGCTGGCCTTCGTAATTTATATATCCCTTAGATTTAGCCAATTGAAATAACGCACTAAGTTCTCAATAGTATTATCTACGGAAAAGTCATTGAACATCTCTGTACGTATGAAGCATCGGTGGTCGATCACAACAAATTCCTCAGGGTAAAAAGAATACACACTTCCTTGCGCCTTACCTTACACGCAGTATACTATAAAATAATGGGGGTGTTTTGGCTGTGCTGATTGCCCTCCTTGGACGAACATGTTGTCATTGTGCATGTTACAATAATAGTCGATACCTTGATTATCATCGAGTGTATGATTGGCCGATCACAGAATAGATAATGTAGGAATCTGTGTGTCACGTTAACTATACAATTGTGGGAAACGCTTAGAGCTGACTATACGTCAGTTGACACTTTGACTGTTCTGCCTGATATTATCTCAGCCCCCATCGCTAGCGTCAACAAATCTCGACTATGAATACCGTGTAATTAAATTACAATGATGGCGTAATCAGTGTTCCTTATCAGCACTAGTCTTACTAAGAAACGGAGTATTTACAATCTCTAATAGTGACAGTATTGGGTTGATATATACGACACTCGGTACACAGCATAGTTTATAACTCAAATGGATGGTCTAGATTGACCAATGCTTCATGGCTTTTTAGCATAATGGTAAAAGCTCAGAGTATAAATAAAAAAAGTGAATATAAATAAAGTACATTGTATATATTAAAGTTTTACTATTGACTAGTAAAAACTCATTATCTTTTGCATGCAGTATACATATATAAGAGTATAAGTTCTTTTCTCGTAGCAAGCATCGGGCTCTCTACCCGGAAACGACTGATCCAATTCTCCTAAACGATCCAATCCCTACTCCCTTTTTTATATGTTACGGAAATTAACGAACATAACATCGCTCCTTGTAATTCTCAAAGCATCATTTAACTGATCTAGCAATCAGTTTCACGTAAACTAGTAAAATACAACCTTGACCAACTTAAATTCAAAAATCAACTCTAATCCAATCGTTACTCACGCATCACTCTTTCTCCGCCTTTGATTCAAGACACTTGCCTATAAATCTGGCTCTAAGAAACCCCTCATGTCCACACATAACGGTATGTTTGTTGATATTCTTCCAGGTAAACCTCTCTGCTCACCAAAATAAAGCACTTCAGTTGGTCGTTCTTTATGTTTAACTTCTTTGGTGGAAAAGTTGTATCTGATGCATGACTCAATAGCCATACTGGAATTTTTTTTAGTAGGCCCCCCGAACTCGTCTGCTTCTCCAATTACTCCAACGGATGGTCATTTTGACGTTCATCCAAACAACAATCTTGCTTTGAAATCAATCAACCTTTCCGACAACATGGAAACCACAACTTACACTTCGAATAATCAGTCCGCTGCTTCTACTTATAACAACCCGCAAATTACGGATATGGGGATACCGTTCAATTATCCGTACCTAATTAACAACTACAGTCTATATCGAGTATGTCTAATTAAGGGCGACATAGTTATACTTGCGCATTTTTAATCTTTATTCACGCCCTCGTCCAATCTTCTCTTTTTAATCGCCGATGTATCTGATCCGTTACGTACGAATGGCATTGTCGAATATTATAATCGTCATCCGTTCGATGGTACTATTGTACACTGCTGTTGTTACTCTCGTCTGCAGGTACCAAATCAAACTTTGGAGAGAAATGATGTAAGTATGATAACACACACTTGTGTTCATTCCATAATATAGTAAATACACGTCAAATACCTGTGCATAGAAAGGCATCTTCTAACTTGTTTCATTACAACACAGTTGGTGCAACCAATTTTCGTACCGCAACAATCTTCGGTAAGGATATTTAGTGCTAGACTATATTCGTAATTTATACTCATGAGTCACCCAATATACCGTTCTATGTGCAGTTGCCCGAAGAGGACTGTTCGCTGATTTCAAGATCTGCGGCGGAAAACACGCAAGCAATGGTATGTATAAGTAGCAGGTAACAGAGATAAACTCCGTGTCCCTCTTACTATTATCGAATGACTCACCAACAATTCTGTCCGTTTCAGCTTGATTGTTCGAGTAGTTGGCAGGTAAGTCTAGATATTTTTATCTCATGTATATTTTCTCATGCAAGTAACGTATTCCCCAATGCTATCTTACAAGATGGAAACGAAAGATGATGTCTATCAACTTCGTTTCATACCAGAGGATATAAACAGAATGTCTCCTATGTACGGATCCGCTGTTCCAAGCCCCCCTCAGGCATTCGACCAAATGTCACCTTTGGTCGGATATCAAGTAAAGTTTGAAGATATTAGTACAAATGTTGCCATGGTGAGTCAGCATTCTCTGTTATAGCATGCTGATAAGTAATTGTATGCCGCATGTACCTTGCCCAGTCTTAATGTCTTAGATGGCAGCTTCTTATTAACACAGTTACCATCTATCCTTACAGGTGAACGATTACTCAGAACGTGTTGGTCAGGATTTCCGCCAGCCGCCGACACCATCATCTGCAGCATCCCCCGGCCCAGCATCTCCGACCCCCGTCAGTCAAAAGCCACCCGTATATACCAAATGGACGGAAGAAGAGGACGAATTGCTTAGAGCAGCAATTTCTATGTATGGTCCGCATAAATGGTCTCTAATTGCAGCTCACGTCCCCAATCGCACACCAATGCAATGTTCAACAAGATGGTTGGGTGCACTAAATCCGACAATTCACAAAGGCAGATGGACACCAGAAGAAGACGCTGCACTAAAGGAAGCAGTGGCCGAATACATAAACGCTCTAGATGCTGATGGAAATCCACAGCCAATTCCGTGGAACAAAATTGCAACTCGAATCCCTCATCGGACTGGTATTCAGTGTCAAGCAAGGTGGTCGGAAGCGCTTGATCCCCGAGTTAGGAAGGGCAAATGGTCGTCAGACGAAGATGACATCCTTAAAGAGGGTGTCAAGAGGTTCGGTAGATGTTGGATAAGAATTGCAGAAATGATTAACGGGAGGACACAGGTAATGTAATAACATAATAGTTGCGACCGGTTTGGCCAGACGATCATTTTGGCAAAGCGTTAACTATAATAGTGCCCGGCAAAATGACTGTCGGTCAAGTAACTACACCTCTAGCAAATATTCTTGTATATAGTTGCATATTCCTTGCATGCGCTATTATTCATCTGTAAATCTATTGCATTATTCAAATAAAGCGTCAATGTCGGACACGTTGGGTTCAGATACAAAATAAACAAGCGAAACAAGATCGTGATGCACGTAGTGGTGGAACCCAAGCTACTTCGATATCATCATCACCTAAATCAGAAACTTCACTTTCTCCACTTAGTCCGCCGAAGACGACACCGCCAACGCCTTCCAAGACGATGTCCTCTGCCAAAATACTTCATTCGAATTTGGCAGACCGATCACAAACCCAAATCGGAAACAGATTAACACCGACAATGGCATCCGTAACACCTATAACGGAGAATGGCAAAACCATTAGGTCATTAAACTCAATGCTTAAAGTTCAATCAGTAAGGGCCGACAGTCCACAGATGGCTAAAAATGGATTGAGTTCTAGGACAGACGTCCCTCTTGTAAGCACTATACAAAACGGCGATCAACTGTCTATGTTCGTCGGTTCATACCCATTTCAGTAGATAATGTGTCTTTTCAAGTGAACTTCCCTGTTTTCTTTTTTCCTTTTTCTTTTTCTCTTCTCTTCTCTTTCTTATGTTACATATCCTTCTCTTCATTTTTTACTAGATAGGGACAATTTCTCTCACATAGAAGCGGAATTCATTGGATGAAACTTCTTTAATATTGTTTAAAAGATGCCAAAGAATTAATATTACCTTTCTCCATTATACTCAATAAGACTACGAACAAATTTAAATTTTTTTATTCCCGACTATATGTTAACTACCCATTATGACTATCTCTATTAACGGAAAAAGGAATATAAGTTTTATCGCATTCGATTATTCTGCGAAAAAGAACCTTCTTCCTTTGTCGATCCTTCGATACTATATTCTTCAGCATTCTTCTTCTTTATATGTGCGCCGTGAACCTGATTAGCCTTCAGCAAAAGCTGCTTGTGTTCAGAAACTTGTAAAATCTCAAATGCGCGCTTGATATTATTCGATATCGGTGCCATGGGTCCGAGGCATTTCAAAGTGGATGTCTTTTCTTGGTGCCTTCAAAAATAATTTTTGTTCGCTATTGCGAATGTTGCTTCGAAAGTTTGGCTTCGACAAACTTGGTTTTTTTTTTCGTTTAATATATATATCGTTTCTTTTTATGTCATCCATTTTAAGTGTCTGACAGATTGATAATATAAATTCAGGGCAATATGCTTTTTAAATACGTTTGAGAGTGAGTTTGCAAAGTGTTTAGTAAGGGTTTGACAAGAGCTTTAAACCCTAGTTAAAGTGAACGATGTCCTCAGCTTACTTATACTGTCGTTGTGTATTTTGTTTAAAGTACCACAGTATCGATAATGTAACGTACCGTTATTAGACAACAAAATAACACGTACAACTATTATTGTTGGTACAATAGTTTAGCCAAAAATTCTCATGCTGTGAAATTAAGTACGACAAAGACCAGGCAGTGTATACGGAATATGACATGTGAATAAACTTAAACAGCCAGGTGTGAATAAACGCCACCTTTATTATCATAGGCGGTTATCATTCGAACAATGTAACTATCTTGGAACTTGGCCCATTTCGAAATTGTCACCATTTGTTTCAATGATATCACATGGATTACATTGTGTTGACATCATTCAAATGCAGTTTATTGGTGCATGAGATTATCGTGATGTGACAAATTTGAAACGGGCCAAGTTATGATTTGGTCTAGAACATAACTGTGTAATAAGGTTGGGATATATTAATTCTTTCATTATGTCATCGGTTACATAATTCTTGCCGTATATTATCTTAATCCGCAACCAAAAGTTATGTACACATACGCGAAGAAAAAAGTGCTTGGAATAGCCACATGCAGACAGTCCCTTTTTTTTCTCTCTTTTTTTTCCCCCCTTGCAGACGCCCTATAGACATCTCGTACCACAGGGTGATATTGCTTGCGATTATCAGGATGCGTACTGACAATTAAGATTTGCAGATATTAGTGGCTTGGGATTGTTTCTTCCTTCGCCGAGTGCCCTTTCCTTCTAATACACATGCAAACCAGATAAGTCGGTCTCTTGGTTATTAATTAAGATTTGCAGATTTTAGTGGCTTGGGATTGCTTTTCTTCCTTCGCTTTTCCTTTCTAATACAGCAAAAACTTGATAAGTCGGTCTTGGTTATTAAGTCGGTCCACCATGCAAGCAATTAAAAAATACCGATATAAGATGGTGTTTGTATTGCTAGTGTGTTACATTATATAATTAATTGTGGGCTGAAGATGAAGCTGAAACACACGTGACTATCTAATTTTATCACGTAATTAATATATACTCGATCACGTTTTTGCCCCTCAGTCAAAGCAAACAAACAAAGAATTTTCATTTGAATCAATCCGGAACACTTGTCACACCTCAATGCTTATAAAATTGATAAGCTCGTTCGGCGATTATTTTCTGCTGTTTAGTTTTTTCTTATGGAAATCAATTATATAGACCTTTATTTATCGTTATTATACAGCTTCTATCGCGAGGCTAAACTGCCCCTAAGTGTCTCGGTACTTTCTTTATTGCACGTTTCAATACTTTGGCCAGTAAACGATAGTGTTGCAAAAAAAATTTTTGCTGTTACTTTTTGGACCATGTTTCTAAATCGGTACTTTATATTGCACTCATGTGACATTTTTCGGTGATATCATTGCGTTGCAAATATATTTTTTGCTGTTACACGCTTATCGCTCTTTTGGACCATGTTCTAAATCGAGAAAGCGGAAATCAAAAAATCCAAATTAGTCAAAGAAAAGTATCACATATATATATTTATCATATGTTAATACATAACTTAAGTTAATACGACATCATTGAAGTCAAACGAAAAAAGATTATTAACCAATGGGTTAGAGAATAGAAACGAATGAAAGATCAGAAATTACAGTAACGAAGTTCAAATGATCGAAGTGGTCCATTATGTTAGAACCGAAACTACTACTAATTAAGTCAGGAGAATTATGGACTCAATATAGTGAATATAAACTCCAAACTGAAGAATTACAATAAAAACGAGCATATCTGGTTTCAATTTCATGGGAATACCTGTTCTCTATCAGAGTGTGATATCGCATTTTTATTAATAATAAAAAATACGAAAGTTAAAAAAAAAAAGGAATCACACATACTGGGCGCCATTTCTAAAAATGAACGGGGTCAAGAAAGTAAAGCTGCCCAAGAATCTTGGAATTTTTACTTATAACTCCGTCGTCGTCAATCCGAACCTGAAATTTCTAACGACGCTAATATTACATCAGAGGACATTAATTAATATATAGATATTTATTAATACAGACAATGCTAGCAGTTGGATGGACTTTATCAAGTTATATCGTTATTCATTATACAGATATGTCTGCCTTATGACTCGGGTAAGTACGGGACCAGGGAAAAAAATCCTAGCGTCGCTTATTACGATTAATCGGCAAATCATTCCTTCGTGCTACCGAACTTGTACTCTGTTTATAACGAACGGGTTGGCATAGCTTTCTGTGTCCATCCGGATCCGGTATATGGAAAGTTTATTTATTATATAATACATATCCCACACAAAAACGAAGTGCACAATTCTAAAATATTATATCATCGGGAAGTGCCAGTCTACTCGAATAATTTATTGTGGAAGGTTATTTAAAAAGTCACAATGAAAATTGTGGAAGGCGAAAAAAATGCGTTCAGTAAAGAAAAAAGAATATTCCCCATAATTTGTCTGAAATAAGTTGTATATTTCATTCAAGTGATACAATAATAATCCCGTTGGAATCAAGAAATGGCGAAATTGTTTGTCTGGCAGAGAGAATCGTCATTTTTACGTATAAAGTAATGGCACCAGAGGAGAAGGAATATAATTGGATCCCAAAATTGCAGTACATATAGCAATGATGTATTTGAAATATAGGTTAATTCCCGAACTCATGATAAAAAACTCCTTGTGTGATGTACCACTATGGTTGGTTATGTTGTATGTAAATCCCATCACTATGTAAAATGCGGGTTTGGGACCCTGGACGGGATTTACATATAATAATACAAATGCGGTTTTTATACGTCAGTTACAAAAAATAAGACAATTATTTAGTCCCTCCATTTTAAATTAGATTGATGTTCAATAGGTATGTGATATAAAAACTGACCCTAACCAGACAATGGCTTTGCAAGAGGCTCATGCAGCTTACTTGTACGGATAAATTTCGAGAGGAAGCTGCAAAATGTGTATATTATAGTTCCTAAAAAAAAGGTCAATTTATCAAGTATCTTATTTTACCACGGTGTATGGTGGGGGGACACAAGTACGCTCAACTTTGTCAAGGGGAAATCATCACAATGATACACTCACAATAAATCCCTCCCCCCCCCCTGCCAAAAGTATTTGACACTCCTTAATCTACTAGTAAAACATATGAAAAATCTCGATTGCACGTATTTACTGTGAATTAAAATGATTTTAGTATATTTTTCGTGATACGTTCGGTTCCGTTATCGTACTAAAGCAGCTGTTCGATGAAGTGTTAGCATGATGACTTTCATACATTTTAATATGTGTAACATTATAACCAGCCACTTCATTGGAACTGAAAATATCACGAAAAATATAATCAATTAGCTTCATAACGGTACCAAAATCATTTTGATTCACATAGTAAATACGTGCAGTGCAATCGAGATTTTTCATATGTTTTACTAGTAGATTAAGGAGTGTCAAATACTTTTGGCAGGGGGGTTTATCTCTTAACAACGCCCCAATATTGCTCAATAAAATTTTAACTCGGAGATAACTTTATGACCCCCCCCACCCCCTGCCTCTTGAATTAACAGTTTGTTAGGTCTAAAATTTTTTTGCACCGCGAGAATATGACGTGCACAACACAACGATCAGTGTTAATCACATTTATTTTTTTCACACCACAAAAAGTCTGAGATTAGGTTTCCAAAGTCCTCATCTGTAAGAACATTCTAGATTCCATTTGGAAGCGTCAGATATTGTTGTTGCCCATTATTGGTTGCTTTCCCCGCAATCTTTAAGATTCTCATAGCAATGAATCTTTTCATAACTGCAGTATGACTTGATGATTTATCACTGCTACGGCACCAGGATGTGTCTTTTCGAAGATATCACGTTCCGTCACCTGAAATAATTAAATGAATTGTATTACCATATAACAAATCGTACATGCTCCAAACTTATCAGCTTTCCTTGATAAATTATCACACTTGCTTCACGTGGCATAGAATCTCCAAACTCTTCCCGGATGCCTAAATTGTTTCAGTCAAAAACTCACTGACAATGCTTCTTCTGCAACTCTTTTTCTTAAGGAATTGTTCATTTTGTGGTTCCTCTCCCATCATTTGAATCAAAAGTTGATTCATCATGAGTAACTTAGAACGTGGAGACATTCAAATTCACTGAGTTCTGGATCAATTCTGCATAAAAAATAAAAATTTTTTCTGTAATAGTTATAAGAATTTGCAAACCTC